ATGATAGATTGCAGAAAGCCACAAATAGACATCTGGAACAAAATTATATTACACCCCTATGGGATCTCCATGGCATTTTCAGGCACTCTATGCAAAGTAGAGTGAGCAAGAATTACTCCCTTGTGCTAGGTGCTCCATCCCTGGATGTTTTTAACAACAGTTTGAACATCTGTTTGTTTGTCTGGAATGGCATACGGGCTCCTGCCTCAGCAGCGAGTTGGACTTGAAGACCTTCAAGGTCCCTTCCATCCCTATGATTCTGTGATCTAACCTATTACTACTTTTCAAACAAGTAAAAATAATAGCTTGATACCCAAGCAAAGTAGCAACTTATAAATGCAAACCAAAGACTAAGAGCAATAGAAAAAGCCTTGGAATCTTCTGCAAAATCAATATGTATTACTGTGTCCAGATTATTAAGATTGCTTTTATTCTGTACATCTGTATCATTAAATTCTTGTTTTATTTATTAGATTTTATACCACCTTTATTTGTAGGTAACTCAAGGAAGTAAACATACTGTACACAGTGGTGGGTTCCGCCCGGTTCGGCCGAGCCGGTAGCGGTGACGATATGACATCACCGAACCGGTTCTGCCCCCCCCCCGTGTTATTCTTACCTTTTATTTGGCCCCACCCCCAATCTATTGTTGCCTCCTGAGTCCCAGCTGATCGGCTAGAAGGAAAAAAACTGTTTAAACTCTTGCCGCGGGGCTTCAAAGGGCCGCCCTACAACTGATCAGTGGTAAAAGGCAGTTTGGTGGTAGACCAGTGCCTCCAAAAACAAATGAATAGACCGGTGCCTGCAAAAATAAATGGGTAGACCAGTGCCTGCAAAAATAAATGGATAGACCAGTGCCTCCAAAAAACAAATGAATAGACTGGTACAGCTCTGCAAGCAGTTAAAAGCCTGGTAGACCAGTACCTCTGCTGAATCCTAAAGAATTGTCACCTGACCATCAAGCCACGCCCACAAAATAAGCCGTGCCCACAGAACCAGTAGTAAAAAAATTTAGAACCCACCCCTGACTGTACATAATATTCCTTCTTCCTATTTTCCCCGCAACATTGCAGTGAGGTGGGTTGGGCCAAGAGAGAAGGACTGTCCCCAAATCACCCAAATGGCTTTCATGTGTAAGGGAGAACTAGAACTCATTGTCCCCTGGTTTCTAAGTCAGCACCATCAAACTATGAGTGTTGTTTTTATGCGTACATACATATGGGGGAATCCATTGATTTTACAAAGGGATGATCAGTAAAGTATTAATTCATTCTTTTATTATTCAAGCCCTATACTTTTTTGTAGTGACAACTGGATGGTGTACATATTCTCATCCATTTATGTACACATATGTAGAAGTGTATCACACATGTAGAAGTGTATCTCACACACCTTAAAATTTTATTTTTCTTCCTTTAAAAGCTTCCCAGTATCAGCTGATTGGGGAAAGTACCAGGAGCCCTGGTAGCGCAGCAGACTAAAGCACTTTAAATTTGGTTTTAAATTATTGGGGTTTTAAATTCAGCCAAATTACTTAATTCGTTTTATTCTATTTTAAATTTTGTATTTATATGTTTTATTCTATGGCTGTTCACCGCCCTGAGTCCTTCGGGAGTAGGGCGGTATACAAATTCAATAATAAATAAATAAATAAAAATAAAACTGTTATTAACATCAGCTGCCTGCAATTACTGCAGGTTCGAATCTCGCCAAGGCTCAAGGTTGACTCAGCCTTCCATCCTTTCTGAGGTAGGTGAAATGAGGACCCAGTTTGTGGGGGCAATAAGCTGACTTTGTATAAATATACAAAAGTATGAAGGCTATTGCTTAACGCATTGTAAGCCACCCTGAGTCTTCGGAGAAGGGCGGCATATAAATCAAATAATATTTTTTTAAAAAGCAGATATGCTTTCTTCTATACATTCATGTCAAGATCTTCAATCATTTATTCATCAATAAATATCTTAAGTCAAAGCAGACCTGACTCCCTTTTCAAATAAAATCTCAGTGCTCTGGCTCCCTCTGCTGTTGATCTAGATCATTGTTTCCCAACCTTGTCAATTTGAAGATGGGTGGCTTTCGAGTCCCAAAATTTCCCAGCCAGACTCATTGATTGGAGAATTCTGGGTGTTGAAGGCCACACATCAAAGTTACCAAGATTCAGAGACATAAATGCTTGTAACGTCTGTGATGGGTTCACAATGTTTCTAAAATAACTGATTGGATCTCTTGCAAAAGTTACCTGTTGACTGTTTTCACCTATTTGTGTATTTCAGCCCTTAATTCAGAACAGAGAAAGTTATCGGAACACTTTTTTGTACCCAACCGAACTCCAGCATCTCACTGTAGCGTTGGCAGCTTAAAATCTTCTTCCATCACCATACTTGTTCAACTAGATAGCTCAACAGACAGAGCTCTGTAATTTAACACCAGCTGTCTGCAATTAAAGTAAGATCGAATCTCGCCAGGCTCAAGGTTGACTCAGCCTTCCATCCTTTCTAAAGTAGGTAAATTGAGGACCCAGTTTGTGGGGGCAATAAGCTGACTTTGTATAAATATACAAAAGTATGAAGGCTATTGCTTAACACATTGTAAGCCGCCCTGAGTCTCCGGAGAAGGGTGGCATATAAATCAAATTTTTAAAAAAATCTACCATTTTCCCCAAAATAAGACATCCCCTGAAAAGAAGCCCAATCGGGCTTTTGCACACATGGCAATAAGGCCAAGCGCTTATTTCAGGGTTCAAAAAAATATAAGACAGGGTCTTATTTTTGGAGGAACACGGTATCTTAATGCTGCTGAACAGGAAAATAGCAAGAGATCCCAACTGATTTGATGAAGGATGCAGATTTTTGAAATAATGCAGTTGACTGGATCAGTTGCTGGCTCCATAAAGAGGACATTAGCGTCACAGGGCAACACATGCTGGCGAGTTGTATGCCATATTCTAGTTATGCCAAACAAGATATTTGCTATAATAGGCCATTTACATATGGCACTGTTGGGCACATTCTCCAATGGCAAAAAGTAGACAATGAAGGATGACGCTGTAACTCATTTTATTAGAGAGCACTGCTATTCATATATAGATCATACACCCAGATAAGGATATCCCTGCTAAGTGTAACTTGAGTCAGTTTGTTGAGGGTAAAAACTTCCCTCTGCATAGTAGGCAACAGACCGGACAGCAGAGGTACGTTGCTGGTTAAACACAACAGATACTCACAGCTCTGAACGGTGAAAAAAAAACTTTTAGTGAAAAAACAAACTTGGTTTCTCAAAACAATGATAACACGTCTTCGAATAATCACTCTCCAACACAAAACATAGTTTGCTTACAGTTCTCTTCAGTCATACACAGTCCCTTTTCAGGAGATCAATCATCAAATAGCAGGAGCAGGAGCTCCTGGCGTTCCTGTCTACTTTTAGGGCTGCCTGATAATAGTACAGCCAATCATTCTTCTTCTATCATTTAAAGTCACAAACGTAGTTTTTCTATATATTACCTACCCAACCGTAGGATATAAATATCCAACATTTTCATGGTCACTCTTTATCCAAAGATTTGAAAGGTTTACACTGAATTGGCTTATTTCTGTTATATATGTAATTTGTTTTTGTAATTCCACCCCATGATTTAAGACAGCGGTCTCCAATGCCTGGCCCACTATCGGGCCTTGAGCCGTTCGGAACCGGGCGGTGGAAATGGCGGGTGAGCCCACTGCTTGCACAAATGGAACTGTAAGCGGTCTCTGCCCTCCCATGCCTGCCCTTCAGGCAGAATCATCCACCCCACCCCCACCCCCCAATTTGCCAAACAGCCAAAAATGATTCAGTTCTCCTTAATTATTCAGCTGTAAGGGTGGATTCAGACAACACATTAAGTTGAACATGTTACATTACGGCTTAGTGTGATGTGTGAAGTCTGCCAGTCACTCTCCTCCTGCTGCCTTTTTTATTTGTTCTTCTCTAAATTTTGGTTTTTATTGATTCTATACTTCATTACTTTTACAAATAACTCAAGAAGGCAAACATGCAACACACCTTCCTCCTCCTATTTTCCTCACGACAATCCTGTGAGGCGGGTTAGGTTGAGAGTGACTGAGACGCGTATTACCCAGTTGGCTTTCATGACTAAGGCAGGACTCATGATCTCTGGCTTTGTAACCTTAATCTTTAGAAGTGACATCCGCATGTTTCGTTCAGTTAAATATTTATCTTGCTTATTGCACGATTGTTGGGAAATCAGTGCTCTGGTTTGTAAAATAAATTCAGGCATTCATAGCCAGCAATACATTGAATTCACTTTTCTGAAAAAAATAATATTAAGACCCTTCAATACATACCATGCACTCAAAAGTCGGATTGCTTCAGCCTTTCCCCTTTCTTGGCTATAGAGACAACATCTCATTGCATTTTATTTAGAGCAGAACTTAAGGAAGGAATAGAAGAAGATATGGCTGGACCATCTTAGCACGCTTGAAATAAATTTGTTACAATCCCAGTGATGCTTGTATTTTATATATATAAACTTGACCTAGCTCAATGCACAAACACTCTCTAAACCAGTGGTCACCAACTGATGGTCCGTGAACCACTGGTGGTCCGCAAGAAAATTTTGGTGGTTTGCATTTTTTATATTGCACTAAATACTATTTATCGTTTTAAAAAACCATATTAGTGGTCCGCGGGATTTACAATTATGAATTTAGTGGTCCCTGAGGTCCAAAAGGTTGGTGACCCCCTGCTCTAAACCATAATCCTGGGGATGCTGCAAGTCATTAAGTGTGCGGATCAATCATAAGTCATACAGTCACTAAACAAATGGTTGTATGTCAAGGACTACCTGTACATATTTTTTTAAAAAAAAATTAAAGAGAATCTGAGAGGAGAACGTCAACATTTCTCAAGCTTTCTAGACCATTATTTCTACCTGGCCTTTTCTTTTACATGGTCCTCTCCAAGATATGGGAAAAAAAATAGTTATTAAGATTCAGGCAAAGCGGATAAAAATAAGGGCTTTATTCAGAATTAGTTGAACGTCAGTTATACAATAAAAGTGGGCCCCGACAAATACGTCAACCAATGCAAGAGGCTGTCCAATGATAAAAAACATAAAAGTCCACGTTAAGACTGTGAGTGAACATCTTTGGGAAGGTTTACTGTTTGTGATCTTCAGTCCTTCATGATCTTCCTATGGGCCAATATTAAATCAGATCTGACATTCCCTGTTTTATCTCCAATTTATCACAATGGTACCTGGTCACCGCTTTGCAGAAATCTGGTTCTTAACACAGAGTTTCTCTCATATGAAAAGTTGAGGAAAATACACATTGACGCATTTTATCCTTCTAATTAAAGCCTAATCAACTCACCTGCCATTGTGACTCTCATACCAGGATCTGAAACCCAATCCCCCGAGATAAACTGCTAAAATCTAACAGCCCTTGTCTAACCCTTGGTGAGAACCGAAAGCTAAGCAAGTAGGCATAAAACAATTCACAAAGTGCCATATTTTGCTGCACATCATTAGAGCTATGAGCAAAGCGTTTGTAAAGTGGTCTTTATTTCTCAGCCATAGGTTTGGCCTTCCCTTGATCTTCCACTTTCTTGATGGCAGCTTGTATGGCTTCTTGGTCACCCAGAAATTGGTGGTGGCCGAGCGGTTGCAGATTTTCATCAAGTTCAAGGAGGACGGGCACGCCGGTGGGAAGAGTCACGTTAACTATAGCCTCATCAGAGATGCCTGCAGGGAAGAAGGAACAAATTTACTATCACCATCTTACGTCGGTTGTAGGTAAACTTTTAGCACTATCATGAAATGTAATGCCAAGAAGGTCTTGGATTTGCTAAAAAAAAAAAAAGCACTTTTCATTTTCAAATGTTTTAAATTAAACCACATGGATATCTATGGAGATTCTCAGTCATCCAGGACACGATTGTCCCAAAGGTGCTTTTTCCAAAGGCAACTGAACTTTGTTTTTCCATGAAGATGTTTTATTTCTCATCCAAGAAGCTTCTTCAGTTCTGACAAGTTCTGAAGCTTCTTTGCATGAGAAGTGAAACCTCTTCAAGGAAAAACAAAATCCAGCTGCCTTTGGAAAAAGCACCTTGGGGTAAACCACAGGGAGTGTTCAGAAATTTTCTTTTAAAAGGAACAAGAACAATCCTGATTGAGTTAACGGCAAACACTTGTAAACAAATGAGACTGGATCAAACATCAAGCTTAATTCAAAATCAGGGTTTACAAATCACAAATTTTGGAAGCTAGGCAGTGGAAGAGGGTAGAGGTGGGAGAAGTATCTAGGTTGAACAGCCAAGAAGTAGATGCAGACAAAGATAAAGATCCGAGAGAGGAATATGGGAAGCAAGTCAAAAAAAGCATAGCAATTAAAGTATTGAAGCGGACAAAAGACGATGGATAGATGATTTCTCCTTTTTGTTGTTGTTCTGATTTGCTTTACTTTTTCTCTCACTTTCTTTTCTTTTTTTAGGTAGGTGATATGACTAGAAATTAGATAGGACAGAAATAAAATGTTTTTTAATAAAGGGTGACATGATTAAAAGTTAGAATAAGAGATATTTCTAAGAAGTCCACAAAGCAAGGAACAGTCTTGCCTTGGTATTCGCCAACTATTCACCAATACACAGAGATATGCGTGTATATATGTATATGAGGTGGCTCAGTGGCTAAGATGCTGAGCTTGTCAATCGAAAGGTCAACAGTTCAGCAGTTCGAATCCCTAGTGCCGCATAACAGGGTAAGCTCCCGTTACTTGTCCCAGCTTCTGCCAACCTAGCAGTTCGAAAGCATGTAAAAAATGCAAGTAGAAAAATAGGGACCACCTTTGGTGGGAAGGTAACAGCGTTCCGTGCACCTTTGGCATTTAGTCATGCTGGCCACATGAGCATGGAGACGTCTTCGGACAGCACTGGCTCTTCGGCTTTGAGACAGAGATGAGCACTGCCCTCTAGAGTCAGGAACGACTACCATATATGTGCGAGGAGAACCTTTACCTTTACCTATACACAGATATCTCCATAAACACACCAAAGCAACCAACTTTTGTAAGATTTTGTTATTCTGCTAAATTAAACCATCTGCTTCTCCTTCAAGTCCATCTGGGGTCAGGCTGAAAGGCCCACGTGTTCCCCAGGAAAGTTCTCTTGCTTACACTGCTGTGGGGCAACGTTCTGGTTCTGTTCCCGGTCTGCTCTACGGTCTGGCATGGGCTGGAAACAGCAAGTGCAGAAGATGTGGCTTCCTTGAGCTGGACAGACATATTCCTGGACTGCTGGACTGCTTTTCTTTTATTTTAAAAGAAAATAAATTGTGCTTTTTGTTGTTGAGTTTTCTGAATTATGGATGCGCCGCACCCTCCATGGCCCTTCTCCAATCCTAGACAATGCATCTGGTCTGGCATCCCTGTGGTTCTTCTTGTCCTTAATGCTTGCCTCTTTTTCTTTAAAAAAGGTGGTTTCTGTGCCCAAACATTTCAGGACAGAATCAATGAAGCAGTATGACTTTCAACAATGGTGCTACTATAAGAGTCAGAACTTTGTGAAAAGAGGAAGAAGAAGAAGAAGGGGGGGGAGGGAACTGTGTTGATCCTCCTTTACCAACAAAAACTACATACACGTTACAACTACAAGTTGCAAACTTTGCCCCAAATGGTATCAGTTGTTTAGGAGACCCAGAACAGCTGAGAAACATCCGTCTTCATTCCACATGCTAAACAGGACAAACAGAAGGAAAACCAGCTGGCAGCTGAGTAGATGGGGAATTTCTCAGACACGCATGTCTGGAAAATGAGTTTGCATTAGGAAAGGAGAATGTGGAAGCCCGGTAAAATTCATTAATTTGGTTCCAAGCTAAGTTCAATTTAAGAGCAAAGTCCAGTGAAACAGGAGGGATGATTGCATGAAGGTCGAGCAAAGTAGGAACTGAATACCGATACTCCTCGACTTACTTATCACAGTTCATTGTTACAACGGCAGTGAAAAAAAGTGACTTATGGCCATTTTTCACACTTATGACCATTGCAGCATCCTCATGGTCACATGATCGGCTGCTTGGCAACCAACTCATATTTATGACAGTTGTAATGTCCTGGAGGGGGGCGGGGTGTCACGTGATCCCCTTTTGCGCCCCTCTGACAACCAAAATCGATGGGGAAGCCAGATTCATTTAACAACCGTGTTATTAATTTAACACCTGCAGTGATTCACTTAACAACTGTGGCAAGAAAGGTCATAAAATGGGGCAAATCTCACTTAACAAATGTCTCACTTAGCAACAGAAATTTTGGGCTCAATTGTGGTCGAGGACTACCTGTAATAACAAAATAGGTCAGCCTTTTTTGACCCAAGACCACAACTTGCTGAAGCAACCAACTTACCCTATAAAATTGACAATGTTTTTGATGGAGTTTTTTTTTTTAAGAGGCTTAACTGGTCTCACTAAGCATCCAAAAACTGCAGAAAAAAATAACTAAATGAATCAAAGATGCAGCTAAAATTGCTTGTCGCTGTATGTAAGCAACAACCTTAATTAAGGGCTCCCTGATCTCAACAGTTTGGAAAGAGCCAATGACAATCAACTTCCGAACCACTGCAAAGAAAACAATATGGAAGCATCTCTAAAGTCATCAGGAGCCGAGATCAATTTGAGCATCCTTTTATCTTTTATTGATTTCATGATCTTAGTTTAGCCAACTCGCATCATGTCGCACACCAAACCCTGCATGTGCCAAATGTATGTTTTACGTTATCACTTCCATGACAAGAAACACATTTCCTTTCTGTTTATAAAAGTGACTTTACTAGCTAGCAAAAAATATAATAATTAATACTCAATACAGCAGTTTTCTAGAAACCAGGATTCTTGCTACTTGCTACTGCTAGGAATTCTGGCAAATGTAGTCTGCACATTTTGAGGGCACTCAGAATGGAAAAGACGGTTCATTATAGATCACTAGACAAGAAGTGGTAATATAGGAAATTACATAACGATAAGTGGCCACTCGTCAATCAGGAAAAGTAGGAGCGCTACTGTTGTGCAAAGCAAACTAAAAGGGCATTACAAATTACTCCTGTTGCAATAAGATACAGGTACAGCTCCTTAATGAATCATATTTATATCTTCACTTAGAACAGGGGTCAGCAACCTGCGGCTCTGGAGCCGCATGTGGCTCTTTCACCCCTCTGCTGCGGCTCCGTCACTCAAAATATGCGTCACAACAGCCAATGGGTGACAGCCACTGGCACGCGATTTATTGAGCTTTTCAACCCCTGGTAGGCCAACCATGGATAAATCCAAGAAAAGAAAAGTTTCAAAAGAAAACAGAATGTTTAATTCAGCTACATATGCTAGTTTTATGGCCGCTCAAGAAATAGTCAGGCACGGGAAGGGTTTTGTGGCTCCCGGTGTTTTCTTTTCTGTGGGAAATGGGTCCAAATGGCTCTTGGAGTGTTTAAGGTTGCAGACCCTTAACTTAGAAGAGGGAACTACAGCTATATCCTTACCTTTTTAAAATAACACTCCAAAACACAAATACAATCTTAAAAAAAAAAAATCATAGGACCCTTACATAGGAAATGTTCTCCAAGATAGGAAAGAGATGAAGCAATAGGAAGTAAATAAAATGACCAAATATAATATGATGGAAACAAAGAACAGACATAGGTTAACAAAGATCAATATTAGATAGATAAAAGGGAATGACCAAATAAGGAAGAGTCAAAATACAAAGAGAAATGTATATTATAGTTGCGACAAACTGGACATGTATTGAAATGGATGTTTATATGTTTTTATGTTTTATACGTTTCATTGTTCTGTTTAGTTTATACTTATAAATTATATATATATATATATATATATAAAAGGAAATGTTCTCCAATTTGATATGCATCCAGATGTGCCCCTAATTACAGCCACATCAAGCCCATCCAGTGTATTCAACAGATATTTATTGTGTTACAGGCCAACATTTCTGGGAAATGTTCATTTACACAAATGTTTCTTTCGGATTTGTTTAAGAAATAGTGGGAGATTCAAAAGACGAAAGGGATTGGAAGATGGGTGATCTAGAGTTGTTTTTATTTCCATGAGTGATCACCAGGGATGGAAATTTCTGCTGGGCTAGTTCAGGGGTCAGCAACCTATGGCTCTGGAGCCGCATGTGGCTCTTTCATCCCTCTGCTGCGGCTCCCTGTTGCTGGTCTGCTCCACAATTGATAGAGCTTACGGTTAGGACAGGTAGAGGAAAAAGGATGCCGCGCTAGGAGGAGACTCTACGGTGGGGGGAACTGACTTCTAGTCGGCTCCAGAATTGAGCGGGGGCTTCCGGTTAGGACCTTTGTGGCTCTTTGAGTGTTTAACGTTGCTGATCCCTGGGCTAGTTCAATATATTAGTGAACTGTTGGTGCAAAACATAAATGTCAACAAACGTTAGTTTCCAATTACTTCAAATACTTGTAACATTAACTAGTTGACCTTTCTACATCCATCTACATTACAAAAAAGATGTTGAGACTTTGGAAAAAGTGCAGAGAAGAGCAACTAAGATGATTAAAGGCCTGGAGACTAAAACATATGAAGAACATAGACATAGCTACAGTATATTTCCTGTATCAAAAGCTGTAAGGCACATTTGGAAGATGCTGGAAGAGACAATGTTCTTTTACATGAAAAATTGCATTCCAGAACTATCCCTGTTTCAAAATAGTTGGTAAACCTTACTG